CAAAAGTGCATTTGGTTGTAGTTCTGTAGAAAATATCTATGCAGAATTAGTTGATAGCCTATGGTATTGATTTAGTATAGAGTAGAACTGTCAGTTGGATAGTATGCAGTGCTGTAAGTGTTTTCAGGAGTTTGTGTAAACATCAGAAACTTCACAAGATCTAACTGTTTGTAGTAGACCATTGATTTAGCTACAGACTTATGGTTTTATTATATGTCTGTCAACAGATTTGTATCTTAAGTACATTTTTACTATAATTTGCAAAGTTGCAAGTGGTTGCAATGGTTACAAGTTATAATTTTCTTTTGAAGGACAGAATTCAAGTTGTAACTTTCTTTGGGCTTATTAATTTTCATGAAGTTAGGAAAACATGTATTTTTGCGAATACTTGATTTCAATGTTTTTGGAAAGTCTGCCAACAAGCTTATAGAAAGTATATACTTCGTTGAACATTTAAATTCATGGTTTAAACCTTTACCCACCAAATTCACAAAAATTTGTTCCTCAAGAATTGATATAAATCCACAGTAAAGAAGAAAAAATAAGTCATGGAAAAAAATATCAGTACATAACCTTGAACTATATAGCAATGTCTTACTGATAAATAGTTAGCTATAAAACCAGGTTTAATCCACCATTTTCTACATAAGGAAATGCCTGTACCAAGCCAGGAATTTGACAGTTGTTTTCCATTCGTTTGATGTGTTTGAGCTTTGCGTTTTGAATTTTCCTTGGAGTTTGGTATTTTTGGTTTTTATACGACCGCAAAAATTAAAATTTTTTTGGTCGTATATTGGTACATGTATCGCGTTGTCGTCGTCCGGCGTCGTCGTCGTCAGCGTCGTCCGAAGACAGATGGTTACCGGATGATAACTTTAGTATAAGTAAATAGAAATCAATAAAATTTTAACACAAGGTTTATAACCACTAAAGGAAGGTTGGGATTGATTTTGGGGGTTATGGTCCCAACTGTTGAGGAATTAGGGGCCAAAAAAGGGGCCCAAATAAGCATTTTTGTAGTTTCCAGACAATAACTTGTGTTAAAGTGTATGAATTTCTCTGAAATTATACCACAAACTTCCATACAACAAAGGGATGGTTAGGATTGACTTTGGGGGGTTACGGCTCAAACCATTTAGTAATTAGGGGCAAAAAAAGGGGAAAAACAATGTTTTTTTTGGTTAAAGGACAATTGAGACAATTTAAAAGCAGTGTAAGGGAGGTAATCCAATTCAAATTAAAGAACACTGTTTGATTACCTCCCTTACACTGCTTGTAAGTTATGTACATTTGTATTAAGAAATGATGATTGTCTTGAGGTGATTAGCTGTCAATTTATTTTTAGTAGTGACTATTAATTAATATTAATTTTAGCCATGAGTATGTATGTCATTTTATATTTTAAAACTTTTATGATGTATTTAAATGGGTAATTTTGGTTGCAAACTGCATTAGAAATTTGAATTGAGATACTGACCATATCTTGAGGGAAAGAATTTTTTTGGGGAATAAGGGAAAGGGGGGAGGTGAAAAAAATTGGAGGGGGGACAATTTTTCTCATTTCAGATTTCAGAAATTAAAAGAAAATTTCTTCAAATATTTTTTTTGGGGGGTTAATATTCAACAGCATAGTGTATTGCACAAAAGCAAAAAACCGGGGTAAAATAATTTTTTTTTGGTATGGGGGGGGGGGGGGGGTAATTCGCAACAGCATAGTGTTTTGCACAAAAGCAATAAATTGAATATAAATTCAAATCATATAACCAATTTGAAGTTCTTTGACTACAGTTATTCTGTGTCAGAAACCTATTATGTGTCAAAAATTTAGTTACAATCCAAACTCAGACCTGTATCAAACGTGAATATTGTGTCCATTTTGGCCCAACTTTTCAGGGTTGGACATCTGCGGTCGTATCCAGCTGCGCTCAGCGAAGCAATTTATTTTACTTTTGAAAAAAGATATTATAACCCCTTCACAGAGTTGGTGAGACTTAGTCTGAGTGTGTGTCTGTAATTTTCATAACATATTTCTTTGCTGCTGTTTTAAGGAACCATGTAAGCCATTATTAGATCTGAGAGTCAAATCACTTCCTGTTTGATGATACCTCAATTTTTTTGGTGAAAATGAAACTTTTCTTCAAGGTAAAAATAAGTGTGGGTATATGACTCTGTGAAGGATTATTTTATTTGGTACAAATATATATTTGAATATTTTATGAAAGTAAAAATATTTTTACACTAGATAATACCATATATGTAATACAAAATGTAATGATTTTCTACTCACATTTATATCCATATATTTTATAATCAGAGAAGGTACCCAGTACTTTTACTCTTCTACAATGCGAATAAGTACCAACTCAAATGTCAAACTTTATAATAATAATAATTCTTCATGAAATACATTGAAATATAACATACAGAAAATTACAAAATAATCAAACAAACACACACATAAGAAAAATCAAATGAGAATTATAATAAAATATTCCTTTTCTATAACATATCAAAATGATGAATCATACAGTATTGGCATCATTCAAATTACCTCAACAATATTCAAAGCTTATAAAATTACACAGCTTCTTAATGTTCAAACAAGTAATTTTTAAAATCTTTTATGAATAAACTTGTACAGTATCTCCTACAAACAGGAAAAGTACACATCCTCATGAAAGACAAGGAAACCCATATTAGTAGCAGTGGTTCCCAAGGCTTTGAGAAATAACTGGACATTTGGTCCAGTAAACCATCCTTCTTAACTGGACCAGATTCTTTTTTACTGGACATTTACACATATGATTTGGACCAAATTAAAAATTTTACAAGTCATTTGGTCCAGTAATGCATATCACTTAACAAGATCAAACCAATTTTTACTGGACTTTGCCAAATTTTTAGCAACCTTGGAAATGACTGTGGAAGATAGAATTGAACATTCTTAAGTATCCCCCCTTCGAATTCCAACCCTGTAAAATAAAAAGAGCATAAAAACCATGAAATGTTATGCATCCCTGAGCATGTGTTTCTATTAGGTTGGCTGAGAATTTACAATTTATATATGTACTTGGCCTGACATAAAAAGTGAACAGGTGCTTGTTATGTATCAATACCCCTGGCTAATTGTAGATAAACTAAGTTGTGAATTGATGTGAATATATAGGTAGTCAAAGGTGGTGAGATTAATGAGGAGAAGTAATTGTGAAGGATTGAAAAGATGCAGCTTTTGACAATGTAGGAGGAAAGTCTAGTCTTCTTGTTTAAAGTGTATAGGGAACTTTATAAGCTTTTATGATCTAATGTTTACATAGAAACTATATAATTATCTTGATGGAGAGTTTAAAATAGTATTTCCAAGATCTTTTTGCTTCAAGGATTACAGGTGTCTTTTTTTCCAGGAGGGGAAATCTAAAAAATGGTAGCCAACAATTATTTTGAAGGCATACAAATATTCATATATATACATGTATGTCACATTCATGTAATGTTAAAAAAGACAAGGACTTTAAAATAGTATTTCCATGTTTATCTGATAAATAGTGGACACATAATTATTTTGAAGTCATATATAAATATATACGCTCAGTCACGGATAAAAATATGGAGACTTTAAGATAGTATTTCCAAGATAAATTTGTTGCATGAAGTACTGGTGTCACTTTTTTCCAGGAGGGAAATTAATCTAATAAATAGTGGCAAAAAATCCTTTTGATGTCACATATAAAAATATATACTGTAAAAAAAGATGGAGATTTTAAAATAGTATTTCAAAGATCATTTTGTCACTTTTCTTAAGGAGGGAAATTAATCATAACAATTATTTTGAAGTCATATGTAAATGCATGTATATATACTTCAAAAAAGATGGAGATTTTAAGATAGTATTTCAAAGATCTTTATTGCTGCAAGAATTAGTACAGCTAGGTGTCACTTTTTTCCAGGAGAGAAATAAAATTAATGGAAGCCAATTAATTGGTTTGAAGGCATATAAATATACACATGATATATATTTATATAAACATTATCCTGTTAAAAAAGGATATATAGTGCTGAAAATTCATTTGAGAATTGATTCCAGTATAGCTTGTAGGATATTTGTCTACAATATTAGCTCTAAATGATGAGAACTATTGACCATACAAGTGTGTAATAATATGGTTATTGACCTATGATAAATGGGTATTTAGACAGGATGGGGAAAAATATGTTTTTCTGATGAGATATGCAAACATATTTTTGGTTTAGAGATTAAATTATCGTAAAAAACATGTTTGAAGTTGATATTGATTCTTGAAGCCACCTGTTGAAATCACAGATAATTTTTTTTTATTGAAAAATATGAATTGAATTTAACAAGCTTATGTCAGCATAGAAACTTTAACTTGCAGTTTAAAAGTACATTTGAACCAATCCTAAGAAATTTTACTCATTTGGATGCATGTTTTTGAGGATCTCATGCATGCATAATTTGGAATTGAGAAATTTAGATTTCTGTAATTGAATAGTTTGTGCATTAAGTACAAATGCATAAAATGCAAATGAGAAAATTGTTTTGTTTAAAGTAATTATACTGTATACTGACTCAACTTGGGATATTTTGGAGAAAATGAACACACTTCTTTAGTTATTAATTGATTAGCGATTCAGACAGTTTACTGTGAACAGAAATAAGATGTCTGCAAGTTTTGGAGGATTACTTCTTAAGTGAGAAGATAAAAAGACTTTTATAATGGAATCAATTAATTTACGGCATGAAAATGATTTTTACAGAAAAAGGGGATGTGATCTAACTGATCGTTAATCAGTGAAAGTTGAGATGAATTTTGGAAGCAACACAATTTATTACAGCAATATTATTATTCACAAATAAATATTTAATAATAGACAATCTACAGTTAGAAATGTATCTGAAAAGTTATCTTGATTGAAAAGTCTTTTGGGCATTCATTGAAATGAAAGTGTAAAATTTGGAATATGTTATCAATATGAAATTTTTTTTTGCATTGTAAGTGTTAAGTTTCCAAGGATATATTAATTTCCATCAAATGGAGTGGATTTATAATGTCACAAGAGATTAAATTACCATACCAAAATGACCTACATTGACCTATGTAAAACTAAATTTAGCTGGATTATAGTTAATGTAATTGGAATTCACAATGGTTCAGTAGTAATCCAAAATTGGATGATATGAATGACAATGTTTATTTTTTTCTGTGTATAAATGATGGACAAAAATGGCTAAATTATTCATAGTTATGTCGTAATACAATAAAGAGATGAAGTACCAAAGTGCAAAACTCATTCTAAAGCATTGAGAAGTTACATAATTTTCGGCCATTATACAAGATTAGAAGAGACTTTATTGTTTTACTGAAATTAGAGAGAAATGACACATCGTGGAAGTATTAAAAGTGTTTTAACAGACTTTATACCAAAGTTTTAGTATGGCACCTGTTTTTTATATAATAGTTACATTTGCTCATTTATAATGATTGACTTTAATATCAGTCCTGGAACTTAAGATTACATAACATTGTTACAGTTACGTGTACATGTAATTATTTGATTCCGTGTGGAATGGAAGAAACGTATTATTGATTATGAATAGTGAATTTAGTTGTAGAAACGATACTTTTACATTTTTCAGAAACAGTATCTAGATAAAATATTTCACATGTTTCAAAAACTTAATTGTTTTTGAAACATTCTAGAGGATTTTTTTTTGATATATTACTATAAGTACATGATGATCAGGAGAATTCAAATGTTTGGTCATATTATTTGACATATTTCAAGATTTATTTATGTTTATTCTTGGAACATTCTGAAGAGGAACTACATTTTAGACATAGACATAATAAATTAGCACATGATGATCATGTGATCTGCAAATGTTTGGTCACCTGACTTAGTATGGCCAGAAAAGAGAATATTTACAGTAATGGTATACAAGATGAGTCTGCTTGTCATGTTTGTGATCCTAAAAAGTCATCTTGTAAGGTAAGGATGTGGTACTCATGTATGAGGGTAGGATTTTTTTTGGGGGGTGGGGGTCCTTAATTTCTTTATTCTTTAATTTATAAGACCATTTTTCTCTATTCTTTATATTTTTTGCCCATTATTTTGTATTCTATTTTTCTCTATTCTTTATTTTTTGTCCATTATTCTGCAAGTTTTAACCATTGCTCTCTATTCTGTAAACCCCATCCAGACCCTCTTGTATTGAACTTTTTATTTTTTTTTTACTTCTGTGAAATAATGATATAAAGATTTTGGGTAAAAAGATGGGATGTTAATGATTGGCCTGTAATTGTTTATCTGAACACTTTTGTGTCCTGAAGCAACCTGTTTTGAAATTCTTTGGTAAAACAGTACGTGTTTAATGGTTTAACATTGTATGATGGTTTGACATTTTATGATGGTTTATTAGTATTTGTTGGTTTAACAGTGTTTAATGGTTTTAAAAGCACTGTCTGATAGTTAAACAGTGTTTGATGGCTGACACTTTCTGATGGTTTAACAGTGTTAAATGGTTTTAAAAGCACTGTCTGATAGTTAAACAGTGTTTGATGGCTGACACTTTCTGATGGTTAAACAGTGTTTGATGGTTTGGTTTGACACTTTCTGATAGTTTATCAATGTCTGATGGCTTAGTACTGTGATGATTTAACAGTGTCTGATGGTTTGATCCTTTCTAGTGGTTAAATAGTGTATGATGTTTTAACACATTCTAATGGTTTAACAGTGTTTGATGAAATAACACTTTTTGATAGTTTAACACTGTCTGATGGTTTAACAGTGTTTGATGGCTTGCCAATTTTTGAAAGTTAAACAGTGTCTGATTGATTGACAGTGTCTGATGGTTTAACATTGTCTGATTGATTGACAGTGTCTGATGGTTTAACAGTTATCTAGGTTTCATGCATAAATTGATGGTCACTTGCTTTCACATATAATTTTACAAATGAATAGCATTTGATTCTTTATTGAAGTTTAATGAAATTTATGTTTTCAAGTTCCATGGGCTCTTGACTCTGAAGAATTTGAAAATAAGCACGGGCTCTGTCCTTTGAAAACATCAGTAATATTATCGTAGGGGACATTGCATACTTTATAGCAATCTCTTTATTTATAATACCCATCGAAAAGAAGCAGTGAGGGATACAGTTTTTGACCCATCGCCAGTCAGTTAGTAATTTTCATTTCTGGATGCTAACTCCAATACCCCTTTTGAAGAGGCCGGCTAGGGGGGAGGGGGTAATGGGAGGATGTCTTATTTCTGCCCAAGAGATTTAAAAATAAAATTCCAAATGTAACACTGTTATAATCTGACACTAACTTTGCAAATCAATTTTTCTACTATCTGAAATATTTCTTAATTTATCGTTGTCATTTCTGAGTTTGGTGAGCTTTTAACACAAAGGAAGAAAAATAGGTCACTAAGACTAAGGGCTACTGCTTGGTTCTTGAAAACTTATCACAACTTTTAATTTTGTCTGATCAGATCCATTTAAAATCTGCATTCCTGTGTATATTTTAGAAATAAGATATACATGTACAAGACAAGAACCTCTGGAAATGCTTAAAAAACATATATCAAAGAAATGTTGCTTATATTTTTGATCTACATCCTCATTCAATGCATGTAGTTGTTGAATATTGTGTTCTTAATAGTGTTGTCAATGGTTAACTGGTTAACCGTCGGAAGGACCGAATATCGAATACCAAAAACGATAACCGGTTAACCTGATCTTTTTTCAATTTTTAAAGATTTGATATAAATGTGTATTGAAATCATTTATAAATTTTGTTCAATTTAAAAATGATCCTGGTAATTAATTTGACAGATCAATTATGTCCAGTATATATTGATTGGTATTGTTAACCCAAAAAACATAGTATCAATTAGAACAAAGACAACTTGTCTATCAGCTCGGGGCAAGATCTTAAGTAAACATTATTAGGGTACATGTTTTTTAACAGTAACTGTTGTAATCCGATTAAATTTTACCATTTACTTCATTATTTCATTTTTGATTTGATATTGCATAGACCTACATCTGAATGTGCAACCTCCATCGTGCAAGGCTTTGTAATACTAACTTTAAACAAGATGCCATCTCAAAAATGATGAAATGCAAATCAACTTGAATGGAATTAATGTATACTTGATGGTATGAGTAACACGCTTAATCCTTTCAAATTGAAACACCCCACATTATTTTCTTAGACATCAAGAGAAAATGAAAAAATCAACGGTTTCAGACATTATCAATTCGGCAGGATCAAGAAGGTTTTTTATCTTTTCAATCTGAAGTTATTACAAATGTCATAGTAGAAAAACAGTAGTATTGGTTTATTAAAGTTAAAACTTCGCCAGGAAAGTCTTATAATGCCAAAGGGTAAACTTCAATTTATCGTAGCATAAAAACGTACATTTTTAGGGTACTATAGATAAGGCCTTCTAACATCAACTTAAACTAACGGTTAACTGGTTAATCGGTTGAAAGATTATCCGAGTAATCGGTTTGGCAAAACTTTTCGATTTGACAACACTAGTTCTTAAGTTAGCCTATGCTTCTTACCCAGGAAACCAAACAGCTCCAAGTATTAGTTGACCAAATTAATACAAATAATTTAAATAAAAACAATTCATTTGTTTCCTTTTGTTTAAGTAAAGATAACCAGAAAAGATGTAAATGTTCCTGCTTGTAAGAGCATAGGAAACGTCATGATCCTACGATAAGTTTCCTGTTAAAGGAAATTACAGCTTGTACTCTAGTGTTGTTAGTACAAACAAGGGTAACAAATATAACAAACACATTGTTTCATTACGAAAAGTGTGTTTAAAATTCAGGACTTTTATTTGATTGAAGTTTTGAAATAATTCCTGTATGTGGTTGTGAATAGGATTAGGAGGAGATTTTTTATTTATTCCGTTTGGATAAAACAGATAGTTTATGCCTGGAATTTATATATTTCAACGATTGAAATTCAGAGGCAAATCTGACATTTAGTATGATACCAAGGGGAGATAATTTGTAAAATAGTGTGATTCCTTTTGGAACATAGTAGGGTTTTGAGGAAATTAAACAGGAATGATGTTATTGTGTAAAAGTTTGAATGCATCTAATTTTATTTCTTGGTGGAGTTTTTTGGTTTGTGGAAATTTAGTTTGGAATCTTTATGATAGAAAAAAAAATTGTTGGTTTTTGAATAATTAAAGAAGGTGCAGATTAAAGAATATGTATAACTATAAAATTGGATGCATGAATATTATAATATCAAAATATTTAAGGAAAATATTACTTGAAAAAATATCAATAATTTGTTAATCATCCTATAGACTTCAGTTTAAAGAAAGAAAAAATATATATGTAAATACTTGGATACATAAATAAGATCATAACATTTTAAGGTTATATAATTATATTACTCTATGCAGAATTTTGAAAAACATCAGTAATTAGTTAATCATCCATAAGCATTCAGTTTAAAAAAAAATATATAAAAAGTTGGATACTTGAATAAGATCAAAATAAGATCAAAACATTTAAGGAATATATATTGACTCTGCAGAAATTTGAAAAATATCAATAATTAGTTAATCATCCTTAAGACTTCAGCATCAATTCTTAACCAAATTGTCCGTTTGAAATAGAGAACCACTTGGTAGTTGATGTAGAAATATGTATGTTTCAAAGAATCAATTGACGTAGCGACTAAGATGATGATTCAGTATACATCAAAATAGATATCGACTCTCTCGGCAGTTGTATAAAGACAGGAGATAAAAAACGTTTCATATCAAATGGGTAATTAACCTGTCAAAATTTATCTGAAGGGAGGTTTCATGGTCTGAAATATTCATGTTAATTTGATGGATGAAATGTGTCAGAATTAGTTTTAAAAGATAAAATAAATTCTTAAGTTTGGCCCTTAAATTGGAACTATGTCATTGTTCTTCAGAAAACCAAAATTTATAATCTACAATGTGCAAAATTAGATAATCCAAAAATGTTTTTGAGTACTGTGCTTACTAGCTGTTTGCTTTTGATGGTCTTGTATGACTATAATGTTCCAGTTTTTAACCATGTTTACTGTTTAAATTCAGTGGTACAAATTAGTGTGGGTCTAACGTCAAGGGCCTGTCTTTTCCTGAATTTAAGGGGCTGGATGCTATGCAAACCCTTCATGAACCTTAGACTCCCTCATTCAGCTCTCCGCCAATCATACTCAAGTCATTAAAATATAAATCTGAAGTTCAGGAAATTCTTTTTTAATTGTATAAAAAAAAAGAAGTAAACATGAGTTGGTTTTTTTTGCTCTGTGTTGAAGGCCTGACACTGTGACTTTGAGATGAAGAACAGCAATAAAAGTGCTGTTCCTTAACTTTATGTGTGTATTTTGCTGTACATGTACTGATTTTGTGTCATGGATGGATACCCCATATCCTTTGTTTTTATACGACCGCAAAAAAATTTTTGTGGTCATATATTGGTATGACGTTGGCGTCGTTGTCGTTGTCGTCGTCGTCGTCCGGCGTCGTCCGAAGACACATTGGTTTTCGCACTCTAACTTTAGTTTAAGTGAATGGATCTCTATGAAATTTTACCACAAGGTTCAATACCACAAAAGGAAGGTTGGGATTGATTTTGGGGGTTATGGTACCACCAGTAAAGGAATTAGGGGCCAAAAAGGGGCCAAAAATAAACATTTTTGTAACTTCCAGACATAACTTGTGTGTTAGTGTATGGATCTCTCTGACATTGTACCACAAGGTTCCATATCACAAAAGGAATGCTGGGATTGATTTTGGGGGTAATTGCCTCAAAATTTTAGGAATTAGGGGCCAAAAAAGGGGCAAAAAACAAGCATTTTTCTAGTTTCATGACAATAACTTGTGTGTAAGTGTATGGATCTTTCTGAAATTGTACTACAAGGTTCCATATCACAAAGGGAAAGCTGGAATTGAGTTTGGGGGTAATTTTCTAAACGTT